TTTTTTTTTGCTGTCGTCACTGCAGCATTTGCTGTGACGTATATCCGTGGTTACTCTAATTTGTAGCAGTCTGTGAATAGAAGGAATCTGTGCCTGATTTCTGTCATGTGATGTGCAGGGTGGTCTGCAGGAGGTAGCAGAGCAGCTTGAGCTGGAGAGAATTGGACCTCAGCATCAGGCAGGCTCTGACTCACTCCTCACAGGAATGGCTTTCTTCAAGATGAGAGAGGTGTGACTTGAGATGAAAAAAAGAACAAATCATCAAAGTGCTATGCTTATTCAATATCACGAAAACCTTTTAAATTGGCACTAAATGCAGCATTTGTACTGACTGTAGCTTCGTTGTCGTTGCAGATGTTTTTTGAGGATCACATTGATGATGCAAAGTATTGTGGTCACTTGTATGGACTGGGTTCAGGCTCATCCTATGTCCAGAACGGCACCGGAAACGCTTACGAGGAGGAGGCAAACAAGCAGCAGTCATGACACAACAAGAATCCCTCACCATAAACAACCTCATATACAGGGCTCAGAACATGGGTTTTTAGTTGTTGTTGTTTTGTTTGATAAGATTTTGCACTTTAAATCTCCCATCCATCAGAAAAAAAACGTCTTCCCTTTGTTGCCTTCTCTGGGTTAAATCTTCTCACACAATGTTCATCTTTTATGTTTAAAGAGGAGGAACCATTTGGTGTTTTAGTTCCCCCCTCACAGCTCGGCCTTAATATTAAGCTACTTTTTATGTTCTTTTTTTAATCGTTAATTTATTGAATTCGTTTCTTCTCGTGTACGGTTGTGTACACCAGTAACCTACGTGAACTGTCTTTCCCTGATCACAGGAGTACTGATTTCTCACTCTTCGCAATAGCTTTAGGCAGATGGAGGATCTCACAGACACGCAGGTAAATACAGGCACTTAATTGTAAAGCAAAGCCTTGCACTGATTTTACCCTTTATGTTGGGTTAGCACAGATTTTACCACACAAGTAAATTAAGAGTGATGATGTAACTGCCACTATTTAAGTGAACTGAGGTCACCTCATACTTCTGGATCAAGATTGTCTTTCCATTTTCACTTTTAAAAGAGATTTAAAGGTTTCGTAGTATTTTAGTATCAAAGAAGTTCAAAGCCTTTTATTCATTTAAGAAATAATGCCTCTTAAAAGAAATCTTAGCCAAGTCAAGTACTCGGTATCAGTGGAATTAGTTTTACTTGTAGTGCTGGTTTTTGAATGGTGCACATTTTGTGCTGTTTGGGTTTTTCCTCCATTTTCTTTTTGGTATTGTATTTCTTTACAATTCTGTGTTGCCTAGATCTGCTGCATGTACTGAAACATTTGAATAAATGCTGTTTGCTGTGTTAACTAATCTGAGCTTTTATAGATATGTGAATTGCATGAACACAGCTTGTCCCTTTTTTTGTGTGTGTCTGATTTGGTGAATGATGATTTTGGTAGCTCTTAACCTCCCTCCTCCTTTGTCTATCATCTTGATGTGTACAGTATCCACATTGGTATTATGCGATATGTTTTTAGAGCTTTTGGAAATAAAAGCCTGATTTTTCTAACATATCCAAAATATGTATAGGTTTATGCTGTTAAAAGTTTTATTGCACCATTCCTAAAGGAATCGTTCACCCAAAAAATTTAAATATGCTGAAAATTTAGGAGTCCATCCAAGATGTAGATGAGTTTGTTACTTCATCTGAACAGATTTGGACAAATTGAGCATTACATCACTTGCTCACCAATGAATCCTTTGCAGTGAATGG